TTCCTGTCCTGTGATTGGCTGAGCTTCAGGCCTTCTCTCAGTCAAACTGGAAACAGGGATTGAGACAGTGTGAGGGTTTGTGGAGTGCCACAGTGCTGTAATGAATACTGTAGTGGAAGAAGTTCTTTCACACTCTTCATCCTGGAGCTGCTTTATGTCCATGATCTGCATGGAAACTGGATGGATTGACTGCAAAGTTCTGTTTAGAAGGATCAGCTGGTCTTTTTTCTCGTAATTCTTACCTACATGGCACAGCTGATGTTTCTGTGTTACCCTGTTAAGATCCATCCTCAGTCAGAAATGTGTTCCACTGAGAACCTTCTGGTCCATGTTCTATCATGTTCTACAGCTGCAGTGTTTCTCCACTCACAGCTGGATATGCTGCAAAAACAACGAGTCTTTGACTGCTTATCCTTTCCCAGCTACCACAGGGAGAGAGGCAGGGTACACCCTTTCTAGGTTGCCAGCCTGACGCTGGGCTAACACAGAGAGACAGACAACCGTTCACACTCAGACCTAAGGGCAATTTAGAATTCAGCAATTAACCTAAGGGAAAGATAAAATACAAGCATTAAAAAGATCATAGCCTTAAACAGATTTGTTTACTCAGTTTTCTTTTTTCACTTTTTGCTTTTCAGTTTAAATCCTGTTTTCTTTGATTGTGTGTGAGAGGGGCTGAGAGGCGGGGCTTCTCTGCTGAGTCTTGAATGTCATTTGCATATAATCTGCATCCCACTGACACGAACATCTGCAAGTGATAACAAGACAAAGCAAATTAAAACCCTCACATGAACTCCAAACATCAGTTAAGATGAGCAGCTAGTTTCATCAGTGGAATACAAGTATGATAAAGGTAACATAAAGAGAGAGGACACATCTCATTAGAGTCCCGTTATTAAACTTTATTAATTATTTATAGGTATAAATCAGTTGGAGCACAGAGAGGAGGGGTCAGGATCTCCTGAGCTGTCACAGACTCAGTTTGACAGACTGATTATTTCTGCCATGGATGTTTATCATAAAGAGTGAGTGAGACCTCTCTGAACATTAATGACTATGAAACCATGGTAACAGCGATCATATCCATTAATTACTGTGTGGTTAAACTTCCTGTCAGATACACGCTGTTGTCGCTGCCTCTGGTCTGTTTAAAGGACCAGTTCATCCAGATTAACCACAGCTGACTGTATCCTGAACACAGAGACGGTTTTATGTGTGTCCTTGTTTTACTGCTTAATTTTACACTGACCATGACAGAGTGGAGCAACACACTAATGTAAAAGTTTTCAGTTCAGCTGTAATAACAAATACGAACAGAGGATCTCATTGTGAACTGAGGGCAGGGTGTAGCTGAAGGTTATTATCTTCACAGTAGTGATGGGAGTTTGGGCTCTTTTTAGAGAACCGGCTCTTTCGGCTCCCATACAGGTTGTTTTGGTGCTTTCATTAATTTATTATTAACAACAATATAAAATTATGCATAAAATGAATTACTAATGTTAAAAAATTTGTTTTTTATTTATGTAATAAATAAAAAATTATATAATATGCTTTTATTTATTCATAAAATATAAAAAAAATTATAAAATACATAAAACAACTATTTACAATTCAATTTCTGCAAATACTGTCTAACAGAGCTCTAAGTTGGTTTAGGTGGTTGTGGTGGTGGTATACTACATGATGCTGTAGACACTGCATATAACGACATTACGTTATATTGAGTAGCAGCTGCCCACGTTAAGCTGTGGCTATCACCAGGCAAAGTAGGCGTGTTTCCTGAATCAGCAGGTGTTAAACAACTGACAGGTTAACAGGATGTATGCAGGTAAGCTGAGGGTCTGTGGAGCTGATCACTGGGGTTGTGAGGAAAATGTTGGCTCGTTATTTATAGAAACACAGAGACACAATACCACGCGGAATTTTAATTAAAATAATTACATCGTTGTATGAAGATAATATTGATGCGTGCATGCAATGGTAGGAGCTGGGGTAAACAAATCTAAACATTATGTTACAATGTAACATATCAAAAATATCACATATTATATTGAGCATCAGGCTTTATCTTATAATTTAAATAATAATATAATTTAAAAAAAATAAGAATTGACATCTTTGCATCAAGAACACAGCTTATTTTATAAAAACATTTTTTGTTAAATGTATTATTTACAGTTCATTGTTTTTAGTTTACTGTAGGATGGGGCTGGCAAACTCAGAAACTGCATTTACCTCGACCTGCTGAGTCAGGCCATCTAAGATTAAAAACTGAAAAAAAGAGAGGCTCAATTAGAGTTTTAAATTGGAATAACATCTTGTCAGAAGTCTTTAGAAAGCCTACAAACTACTAGGCTGATAAACACAAAAGTCACAAGGCAGAAATCAGCAAACTGCTGCTTCATTTTGTTCCCCTGTGCACGATATTCCATGATCTGGTTGGTTGCAGGACCAAACATGCAGCCTGGAATTACATGCAGTGTCCTAAGCGTTGTAGAGCTGCAAAATCCCAAAAGCGCTGTTGAAACTCACCCAGAGAAGAGATGCCTGCTGCATACCTCCTCATTTGCGCACTGACATTGGTCTGTGGAAAACTGGTGATTATTTCCTGTAGCGATGGGAAATGTGTGGTATTGGTCTGCATTTGTGACAGGTGTCTTTGGAAAAGTAGCAGTTTAGTCCCAAAGGCTTTGATGGGTGAATACAGTTGGCTTACCACTGCATTATGCCCCTCAATGCTTGTGTTCAGCGGGTTCAGATGTTGTGTTATGTCCACTAAAAATCCCAAATCAGCCAGCCAAACATGATCGGATAGTTCTGGCATCAGTTTTTTCCCTTTTTTGCCAAGAATTGTCCGATTTCCTCCCTAAGAGAGTAGAAGTGCTGCAGTTCAGACCCCCGACTGAGCCATCTCACATCCTTATGATACACATCTCCATCTCAGCCTGGATGTTGAGTAGAAACTGTTTAAACTGGCAGTGGCACAGGGCTTTGGAGCGAATATAATTAATAGCCTTTATCACCAGTTTCATAACATGGTCATATTTTAAATGTGTAGCACAGAGTACATGTTGGTGAATAATACAGTGGAGTTTTATAGCTTTACCTCCTTCTTTGCTGACTTTGTTACACACTAGGGTTGTTAATCCATTTCTCTCCCCAGCCATGGCAGGTGTGCCATCCGTAATAATACCAGCGACTTTATTCCACGGTAGTTTCATGTCATCTATAGCAGAACAAACAGTAGCAAATAAATCGTCTTGTTTGGTTCTTAAGGCTCTGGGGGTCAAGTATCTCTTCACTCACGTTCATTTCATTGTCCACTCCTCTCAAAAAATTAACATTATTGAGCAATGTCTGTGAAGGTTCTCAGTCACCCAGGTCATCGTAGTCTAAGAAGCTTGGAAAGAAAAATGAAGACGTTTCACCTCTCATCCAAGAAGCTTCTTCAGTTCTAAGGTCAAATGGTGGAGAGTCCCAGATTTAAACCCAGTGGGAGTTTCCCCCCAAAGAGGGACAAAAGGACCCCCTGATGATCCTCCACCTAATCACATGAGCCAAGGTGTGAAAGCGGGTGTGGGTCACAATCAGCCAGGGTTTTGAGCTCATTGTGAAACCTGGCCCCACCCTATCATGTGATTTCCTGAGGTCAGATGGCCCAGGATGTAAGTGGGCGTCTGGGAAGGCCCACTCACATCCTGGGCCATCTGATCTCAGGAAATCATGAGGTGGGAAACTATTTTGTGCAACTTTTTTGTATTTACAGTTTTGAGGGATCAGCCTCTTAAATTTCTCTAACTAGAAATATATGTTAAAAAAGCAAGAACGATTTTAATTTTTTTGTAGTTTATTGCACTTTTTTGCAATTTATGTAATTACTATGCACTTAATGAATACATATTATTAAAATTTGGGCTATAAGGGTTGTATTGATGTATAGCAACTTGAAATGCTCCCAAAAATGGCACTACAGCATGTAAAAGTATAATATAAGCTCTGGCGGACTTGGTTCTATGGTAGGTCTTAAAGGGTTAATATTTCTTGAAAACAGCCACAGTCTCTTGGCAGATTAGGCCGACACAGTTGTTTTGTATTTCAGTGAAAAAGTACAACAATTTCCACATATCCTGGAAGTGACAGCCCTCGCTGCCAGCTTTCCTTTTTTTAGTTACACTTGCCATTTTAGAAATGGGCTTAAAAAGGATAAGCACAAGGGTCACGCCTAGATAGTGTGGCTATAAGTCTACTGCCAACTTCAGGTGAAATATAAAATAGCGTTATTGTAAGTCTGTATTTTATATCGTAATCAACAGTGCTGATGTATGGAATGCCAGGACTGCCATAATGAATTAATTAAATACACCATTAAATAATTAATTAAATGTGGCAATAATTAATTACAATTGGAATTAATTAATTAAATAAATAGTTATGACTGTCACAGTGAACTCTTCAGAGGGAGCAGAAAACCTTCAGGTCCTCCAAAACATTTAACAAAGATGAAGATACAGCAGAGTTTAAAGGAAGTGCTTAGAAAATAAAGACCAGGAAGAGCCACATTTTCCAACATTTTCTGTAAACTCAGTAAAATGCACCAAACTGAGGCTGGTTCATGAACACAGACACACTCAGTTTAATCTGTCAGGTGTTCACAGATTAAATGTTCAGATTTAATAAATAAATGCATTCAATTTGAGTGTCTGACTGTAAAACTGGTCTCTGTGTCCTGCTGATAAATGTGGGCTCTGAGACAAACTGCATGCAGTTAATTTGTGTTTATGTGTCCTCAGTTTCCCAGCATGCCCTGGCTGTGGTGGTGGAGGTGAATGAGGGGGAAAGATCTGTCCTGCTTCCCTGTCAGTACTCAGGTTTTATACCTGATGACCCCACAGTGATGTGGACTCGCTCTGATCTTCATCCCAAATCTGTCCATCTACGACGAGAAGGAGGAGACGATCTTACAGGGCAAAACCAGCGTTACAGCGGGCGCACATCAATGAGGTCTGATGCTCTGGACACTGGAGACTTCAGCCTCACTCTGAGAAAACCAACAAAGACCGACAGTGGCAACTACACCTGCTCCATCAGTGATGGGAGAGAAGAACTGAGACTGAGAGATATACAGCTGCAGGTCAAAGGTCAGTCAGAACTCTGGGTGGGTTAGAGACTCCACATGGAGCCTGTCTCTATGTGACATCTCAGAGTAAGAGGTCAAACTGAAGTTTTGTAAATTGTTGTGACTAACCTGAAAAACCAGCAGCAACATGTAGCTCAGAGCTAACCTCAGTGCAAACAGGATGTCTCTGCTACAACAGCTGCAGTCTTTACTGCATGTGCAGGGTTACACTCACAACATTTACACACTGTACACAGTGGAGAACTTGAGCTCTCTAAGCCTCACTGCAGCTCACTGAGCAGCAGGAAGTGTCCTGATGTTGTACAGACTCAGACTGGAGGAGCTGCTATGAAACGCAGACAGAGATGGGTCATCGTGTTTCATCCAGCTGGTCCTGATGTCACTGAGACTCTCAGGTTAATAACTGCTGTTTCAGGATATGTGGTGTAAATCATAGCGGGGTTCAGGTAACAGCGAGGGGACTGCAGAGTTAATGATGTTTATATTTTGATATTGTTCTGCTTAAGTTTTTATCTGTTACATTTATCAACCATCATCTCAGACTGCTGCTGCCTGACGGAAACACTTGAAATAGTTTCAATAGACTTTCCTGTAAGTTCATTATACACAAACAAAGCATTTACTCATTTGAGAGACATTTGTAAAAAACTAAATAGAAAGCATCTGTTTCAGTGGACTGGCTGTCCCAGAGAAAGATCCAGTGAATATTTTATGAAACCATTCAAGAGTAAAAGCAAAAGATCCCAGACACCCTCTCTACTTCTAAGGTTAGACTCCAAACTTTCCTTTTTTGATAGAGATTATAGTTTTTACGCTTATAGGGCTATAGATAGAAACAATATGAATCTGGCCAATGGTAGAGATTTTGACTATAGCTCAATGGCAACTAAAGAGTCAAGTATAAGTCAATTAAGTACCGTATCTACATTTCTTTCATGTATGCTGTCCAATAGAGGCTGAACCGTTTGAAGTCCGGCATCACTCGTGTCACTGCTCTGACTGCTGGTGGTTGAGACAGACAATGTATCTGTTAGAGTTGGAGAGGAGGGCTCTTCCACATGTTGCTTCAGGACAGTCAAATCTGAGGGTGACAAATAAAAATATTACAATATAAGGTATCTACAATCAAAAACACAACACAACAAAGATGCCATTTATGCACACAGGGCCAGTAAACTGCACGCTTTGATTAAAGTATACTTTCTCCCAGGAGAACAGATGGTTATCTTGTATTTTATTATGGTAATATACAATTTACATACCACAAGGTGTGAGTGTCACATAGTGTGTTAGGTGTGAGCAGTCGCGCAGCTTCTTGGATGATTGTGTTTCCAGGATGTCTGAAATGCATGTGATAAATCCAACTTACTGTTGAGCCATTAAAACAGCATTTTGTGATTGTTACCACAGGATATTAGACAAATTAAAAATGTTTATGTAAGAGTAACTGTACAAATCAAATCCTTCAAAATCTATCAGAGCATATATTTACTTACCTTCAGCTGTATAGATGACAAAACACACCTCTTTAACTGCTGCAAGTTCGGGAAAGACATCCTCATCCACCTCTATACCCTGCTCATCTGTGACTTTCAGTGCTGCATTTTCTGGTATGAGAAACTTCTGCTGCAGTGAAATCATCACTCGGTTACTAACAACATTATCATTTCCTCTTTAATGACTTAGTCCAAACCATAACTTACCTGCTCTCACAAAATCTGTGAAGCTGACTTCTTCCAATTTTACATATTTCTTTGTCTCTCTGTGTTTTACTTTTATCAACATCTTGGCCACCTATGGAAAAAAAGACCTTTACTAATGTTAAACACAACACAAGAAGAAGAGGTTGTTTATGGTAACTTTATGGAAACTGTGTATAACTTAATCAATAAACACTTTCTTACATTGAGTTCGCCTGTCCACAGAATCAGAATCAGAATCAGAATCAGAAAGGGTTTTATTGCCAGATGTTGAGCAGGTTTACAACATTAGGAAATTGCTGCGGTGCTTCAGTGCAACATACTGTCATAAAAATATAAAAATAAGAATTAAAAGTGCTAAGTGGATAGATATATACATGATATATACATGAGTGCAGGTGGTGATCAGTGCCAAACATGGAATGATGCAGTGAACACAGCGTAGGGTCATGTGTTAGTGGCGGGGACAGTCATATGGTTATTGTTCATGTGTCCAACAGCAGAGGGGAAGAAACTGTTCTTATGGCGAGAGGTTCTGGTGCGAATGGACCGGAGCCTCCTGCCTGAGGGGAGCAGGTCAAACAGACTGTGTCCAGGGTGAGAAGGGTCAGCTGAGATCCGAGCTGCACGCCGCAGTGTCCTGGAGGTGTACAGGTCCTGCAGAGATGGGAGTCTGCAGCCAATCACCTTCTCAGCAGAGCGCACAACACGCTGCAGTCTCTGTTTGTCCCTGATAGTGGCTCCAGCGTACCACACGGTGATGGAGGAGGTGAGGATGGACTCGATGATTGCAGTGTAGAACTGCATCATCGTCCGTGTTGGCAGGTTGAATTTCTTCAGCTGCCTCAGGAAGTACATCCTCTGCTGGGCTTTCTTGATGACGGAGGTGATGGTGGGCTCCCACTTCAGGTCCTGGGTGATGGTGGTACCCAGGAAGCGGAATGAGTCCACAGAGGTGATGGGGGTGTCAGTCAGGATGATGGGGGGGAGTGGAGCTGTGTGCTTCCTGAAGTCCACAATAATCTCCACTGTCTTCTGGGCATTCAGCACCAGGTTGTTGTGGCTGCACCAGGACACCTGACACACTAAATATTGCTTAAAATCTATTTAGCTAGGCTGGTTTAGCAGACAATGTGACCGCATGTTTGCTGTGTCCTTGTCTTTACAGTTCTGGAGACAGGGTTGTGTGCATGTCTCAGTGTGCAGCAGGACTAACTAACTGATGTTAATGGTACCTCAACATCTCATCAGTGCAGGCTGCACCTCTCTTTGGTTAAATACGGCCATTACCATGAGTCTAAACAGAATATTACTGTAGTTAGCTAACGTTAAATTAAACGTTAGTGTTAAAATTAAGAAATAGAAATAAACGTTTTCATTGACAACATGAAATGTGTATCTTAAAATACAGTAAGATAAGTTAGTTAGCTAACCTTTGACTAGCGTTAGCCTAGCTGCTATCTCCAAATCAGCACAACATACAGAAAACACATGTAGTGCTAGTTAGTTAACTTTATATTTTACTTGTGCATCCATGTAACTGAATATATATATAAATAACATCACTACACTCTCAGAAAATCCCAAAGTAAATAAAGTATTTTTACCTCCTACATGTCGGAGTCCAAGAAAGAAACACAGATAGGCGCGGTAACAGTCGACAGACAAACAACACCAGCAATGTGTTGAATTAGACTCCTTAGCACCCAGTGAATGAACACCTAAATATTACACCGCTTTAGAGTACTCCCCAACACTGACTGTAGTATAAGGTGAAAAATAAACTCCAGGATATTTAACTCCAGAGATTTGCTGTGTAGATACTCAGCCGTGCTTCAGTTACCATCAGTGTGACTGCTGCTGCTTCTACACCTGATACTGTGGTTTATTGTCCTCTCAGACCACCAGGTGGAGGTGGAGGTGGAGGAAGGCTCAGAGTCTGTCATTCTGCCCTGCAAAACTACAGCTGACCTGCCTCAGGACACCAGAGTGGAGTGGACTCGCTCTGACCCTGAACTGATGGTGGTTCATGTGTATCCAAACAAAAGTAACCACCTTGATGACCAGGACAGTTTTTACAGAGACCGAACAAAGATGAACAAAGACCTGCTGAGAACTGGAGACCTCAGTCTGACCCTGAAATACCCCACAGAGAGAGACAGTGGAGGATACATCTGCACCATCTACAGGGACAAAGACATCCTGAGACAGAAAGTAGTGCTGCAGGTCAAAGGTCAGAGATGTAGAAAAACACCAGGTGTTAGTGGAGGAAATTGAGGTCAGTGTTCAGCAGTCATGTTGATATTGTTTTATGTTTCTCCACAGAACAGTTTCCATCCTGGGCCAAAGCTCTCCTGGTTCTCCTGGTTCTTCTTGTAGTTTCTGGAGGTCTTCTATATTATTTACGTCACTATTTCATGTCAGGTGAGTGTCTCCTACTACACTACCCATAATGCCGATGGTCAGCAGGTGTCCTCTGGTGGCTCCTTGACTGCGGCTCACACAAACTTGTTCCAGAAGCTGAAAGAGTTGAGAGTTACAAACAGCTGATACAGAGAGCTGAAGA